TTCCACCACTAATCTCTTAACAACCTAACTTTGAATTATTAAACACACAAATACCAATCCCAAATATCAATAAAATCAACTTCTACCATATAGAGTGCACCTCAGTGCCATGTCCATGTTTTTACACTCCAATTCACCAGTCATTCACCGCGAAAACCCCATGCAGGCAGACTACGACGTTCTATGACTTGATCTGATGAAACTCTGTAACCCGCTTCCAACTGCTGCCACAGACTTGTGCACGATATCCCCCTCCTAAATCACGCCTGTGTCCTGCCGGGATAACTCTATTACTCCGAATATACAGTCTCTATCCTAGACATTCCACCTTATCCTATACGATAGATACCTCTCCCTAAAAGATTTACATTAGTGTGCACTACTCTAAGTGAGTCTAAATCCCCACTCTGTGCTCACTGCACCTTCTCATCATGCACACCTACCCCGCTCCCCTCTCTACCCATCAGTCTGATCATCCTACTCCAGATCTCCTCTCATTTAATAAGTAACCCACTGAGACCCCTGCTTCACTCACAGTCTCTCTCAGAACTCTTGACAGTCCTTACATCTCCCATCTATCAGTTGTTTTTACACAACAGTAAAGTGATCATAAAACTCTATAACACTACCATATATGTTACCTCACACCATTATCTTAGAGTATCTATCTGTCCCCCTCCAGCTGTAGTGAGCACTAACCCCCCCACCTACATCTATATCTCGCGTTTACACTGCCACACACAAGCCATTTCACTACATCAATCCATCAGCAAGACTTTCTTCGTATGAATATACTCCCCCCCTGTGTATATCCCTATATAGACCACGGAATCAACAATCCCCTATTGTCCCTACTATCTTTTCAGATGTCACCCTGTGTGTACCACAACCTAAATCTATCATCGCAATCACTTATCAATATAAGTCTGCGATGTCCTACGCTTTGTCCCACCCCAGTGACTATCACCACTCGAATCACTAGTGAAAACTCCCATTATGTACCGTCTGCCTTGTATTGTACTTACACCATAACGTGCATCTAAACCCATAGCCAGGCTGCTCAAGACCTGTGGCCTCTCCTATCGTAGTGCTACCTTCACCCCCCCTCCATACCATTCAGATTGTTCGCTCTAACAATTCTCTGTGTGTGCGAGTATCTCGCACCCGCCCGTCCCCTAAAAGTGTCCCCTGTAGTGCGATCGCCCTACTTCAATGATACTAGTCGTCCATAAAGCTCCTCTAACAAAGTGCACCGGCTTATACATCATCTCTACCCCCACCTCCACCCACCCTCCTCTACCCACCTCCCCACTGTTGTTCCGCTTGCCCAGTATTGTCCCCTCCAAAACTGTGACCCTGACCACACATCATAACGCATTCACCTCCTTTCCTCATGATCCCTAAAGACAGACTACCACCTCCCGTCCCTGCCCGACACTGTTGTGTAGAATAGAACTTAATCTCAATGTAATAACTAAGATATACTCTACCCCACTCAACTCGTCCACCACCGCCCAACCACCCCATCTGTGCTCGAGTGCAACTAGTAGCATTCTTACTTGATATGAGCAACATCACTCTCTCTAACCATGCAACTATCCTCTTGATGTAACCCCCCCCTTCCTTGATGTACACTGTACGATCCCTATACCATTGTCCGCTCCACGTACAAATATGACCATCCAAATAATACCAAAAATGTACCTCCTCTCAATATATATGACAGTCTCCATATCTGTTGTCGTTATGTATCTGTGTAGTATGTAACAGATACATTGTGTACTAACTTAAATACACCACTATCAACCCCACTCCTCGCTAGATCTACTGTACCACGTGGCATCCCCCCCCCCACTTGAAAAAGACACTGTTCACACTCCCACCATTACTCATATTCGCTCACTCCGCGTACCTTCAAAGATCCCTCTAAGCGCTTCCCCCTAAGTGTCCAAAAAATGTGTCCCCTAATCAGCTGCTACCGCAATTCTCTCTTCCCCCCCCTCTAACATACGTGTGCTTTCCACATACCGCCTCGTCACATCCTCCAAATATAGCATGTATTGTATTGTGTAATCGACTATACGAACTACCTTCTCCCAGACCCTTCTACCCACTATAGCAGAGAGTAAAGCCATCTCGCCCTCACTGTCCGCCACATCATTTATGAGTCGCCATACCTATCCTCTAGACTTCACTCGTATACTATGCTCTTCCTCAAGTCATGACCCTGTCCGTCTAAAATAAGTAGATTAACACGCCCACCCTTTTATATAGTTCGCCACAGATATGCACTGTGTCCTCTAGTTCTCGTTGAATATGTCACGTCTCTAGATCACCATAGACTCTGTTGAGAACTCGCGTGTATCACATGAGTTACTCTCCCGTGATCCTCTGTATGAGTGTACTCCCCAACGAAGTTAACCGCATACACGCTATCTAAACTCTGTACTATATATTAAATAGTTTACACCACAATCTGTCCTTTCCGTCACTCTAGCGACCCTCTATATTAATGATGAGTGTTTGTGTGACATCTACGCAGTCTCCTCTTTGAATAGCCCTCTTCCTGTCCCAGCCTCCTGCTCCGCTATGCATTAGAGAAATAATCTTCAAAAAACAGACAGGACCACGAACATCCATCCACACACATCGTGCCCCCAACGCAAACGGCACCCCCCCCCAATATCGCCTTCAGGTGACACCTGTTCTGTCCACCATCTTAACTCTGATGATCAAAAACAGCACAAATACTTAATATACCCAAAGTAGATAGATCACTCACACTCTATCTCGAAAACGTAACCCTACGCCACACTAGTGGGTGTTTGTATCCGGTGAAGACCTAGATATGTGTTTTTCATTAATGGGTTTCCGTCCACTACGCGCCTAAGACTGTGTCGCTACAGCCCCCCAGCTGTCTCCAAACGCTCTCCGTAATATGACTATTACTTCCACCTAAGTCCACAGTCATCTCCCAGATCTAATCGCATTCTCAACCACTGTTCCCGATATACCTAGCTTTAAGCAAAAGTCTACACTCTCTCACGCTCTGATGTTGGATAAGTGTGAAAGACTCTCTACGGGCTTATGTCATACTCTCCCCCACATCAAAAGTCCCCCTGTTTTACAAGATAATGGATGTATGGTCTCTGATCTTAAACTCCGACCCTATCTACCCTCATTACTATCCCCATATCATAACATAATTAAACATCTATCCCCAAGCTGCGGAGACCCATGTGTGCAGACAAGAAGCGCAGCGTGCGTTGCCAAGAGACTGGCTGAGGACTCGCACCCAACGAGTAAAAAAGATCAAGACTATGTACTCACGCACCTCGGCTGTATAGATACCTATGATGTAGATGGCGTCGAACTGTGTTTTCCCCCATCGTCCGTCGTCCACCTCTTTTACACGCGCCTCCGAGCCCCTGTCCTGTTGAAAAGAATAACTCAACTACTGTCACTGCCAAAGTGTGCACTCTTACATGATCATGTGTACTTCCGTGGTCGCATTCATACGGTGCGTTTGTGTAGGCATCTCCTGAGATTATAAGTCGCGCGAAGTTGTTTTAGTGGTATACCACGCGAAGAGTTCTTTTGTGAGATAGATCTCTATCATCTGTATGTTGACATAGTGATCGGAAAACACCTGCTCATACAACCCGCAGATTGCTCATCGTCTCCATCCTCACTACAGATCTCTATGCCACATATCTACAGACATAACACTGTAGACGCGTTTCGCCAATGAGTAGTCACTTCAGTATCACTCACTATTCACTGTGCCTCTGGCAGAGAGTGCCTTTAGCCACCACTTATGTCCAGAACAGAATCACCTCGCTGATCTATCGCTCGTATGTCATAAGTCCTCCAGGCACTCTAGCCCAGATTGTGACCGTGGGCAGAACATAATACAATACTCTCCGTACAAGCGTTCTCCTACTCGATCGTGTGTGTTTTTGTGTGTTATCCCTCCCCACATGAATACCTCCGACCACTATACCTGCAATGTGAGTGCTACGGTTCCACTTCTGCACGAGAGACCTAATTCGGAGAACGTACCAGGTTTCCGTTGCTTGCTCGTATTCTCCGCCCGCACGGCCAGAGAGAGATGCATCTACAGGCATCGTTCATGATGCAGTAGCCTTCGAATACATCGTTCGGTGCCTTATCACTCCATCGCGCTACCAGATCTAGACTCAAAGAGTTGTCTGAAGTACTGCCGCCACACGATCGTCCCCATTCCGTTTTCCCTATCAGATCTCCGCGTTTCTGTTCCCCCTCCTGTCTGCGAACAATACTCCCCAGGTAAGTGAGTTCCACGAACCGGCGCATCCGCCTACTTCCTTTCACGTGCTTGCCTCTCCACAAACCTCAGCCCCTAATGTGCCGCGAAGCTCTACTCAATATGACGCAAGATACGGCTTCTCGACACATAGTTTATTCGTCAGCTCGCGTGCGCCCATAGATATCTGGTATGATAAGTATCAATCTACGATATTGATGTTGTGTTCACCGACACAGTGTCCCATGATAGTGTCCAGTGCACGACTCAATCGAGACTTCCGCGAGCCTTCAGACATTGTGTACCTGTGACGACGTGTGTACAGATCCGACGCATCACACGCGTGTATAGGCGTGCACAAAGCGTACGTTCGTGTCGAGTGTTTGTAGCTATACGGTTTTGCCTTTGAATACGGTAGTAGACCGATGTGGAGTCCGCTTGCTCTGTGGCATCCATTATTTTGATAGCATCGAGAGACACGGGCGCGTGTAATTTAAGCGTGTGAGTCCAGAGCACTCGTGTGAAGTGCGTTCTGTATGCGCGTCTGGTTCCAATTGTCGTTCAGTTCCATAGCACGTGGGCGCTGAGCGAGTCTGCATTGTAGCCTGCTCGCTTATCCAGACAGGGAGCTCGACGTCCGGAGTTTCTGACATCGTCCTAGTCGGCTCGTTGACTTTGTGAGTGTATCCTGTAGACTGTGCGGTAGATCGTGGGTCTGTGTTTGCACGAGGCACTGGCACTGGAGTGTCCTGGCGCGTCGCTAGTTTGTCGTCTCGGCTAGTCATGATGTTGTGTGGGCTTAGTAGGGGTGGTCAGCAGGGCTCTCGCTAGCGCACTACCCGTGAGTGGGTCGTAGCCACGCGGTTATCTCGTAGGCTCGCATCCGTACACATGGGTTTCGTGACTACAGACGTAAGTAAAAGTGGGTTGGTCTGTTATGCCTGGTTTGCACGTGTCGCATAGATGGTCAGGGGACGGGTAGTGAGTTGTCTTCTGGGTCATCTCGAGAGTTGTGCACATTGCGGATGAGCAGTGTTTACTGTCGCGCAGGCTTGCGTGGATGGGCGAGTCGGCTGTCGTTCGGAGCGATATTTGCGTGTCAGCGAGAGTCGGTGTCATGGTGACTTAGATTGGCGTTGTGTCACGCTGTTGGGCCGAGTGTCTTCGCTGTGCTGCTCTGATCGACGATCTCAGGTTACGGCTGTAATGTGTCTACATGCGCTAGAGACGCTCACCGTAGCGTGCGTGTAATGTGTAGATCAGAGACCTGACTAGTTCGCACCTTGGACAAAGGATTAGCCGTTGGGTGAGCAATACTGAGTTGGTGTTTGGAAGGAAACGTTTTTTGTACCTCATTAATGTCTGTTATAGCTTACGTTGGATAGCCCATGTTTTCTGCTCAACCATTGACCATCTTCCTCGATATACACTGTATGCCGAAGGGGCATGACAACCTTGAGATTCGGTCAATCCAGCACGTGACTTCTTCGTGGATGGAAGCTTCGGATGAACCACATTAGCTGCGGAGTCATTGATGTTCATACACTCAGTATCTTGCATATAGGTGTTAACATTCAAATCTGATTAACTTAGTCATCTTTTTCACAATTCTTTTTTTGTATTCCGTCTCTTATTCATCACTATTCTTAATTATTGTTGCGTCGGCGAGCCATGGTAACTGACGCCACCGCACTTCGGTTTATGGATGATGATTATTGAGTTGAATCTGCTGTTGAGCTGGACTGATTCGTCAGAACATTGCGTCACAAGCTCCAGACACTGTCTATCTAATGGGCCTGCACTTGTCCTACTGGCTTTTCGGTTAGAATTTTGCAACAAGGTCCACCTATCGTTATAGTCTATAAGACCCTACGACGTTAGCCAAATACCAAGTCTCCTGTTAACACTGTTTACCCCATCTTCTGATGATGATCTGAATTCACAGTGGACACAAATCAAAAATGCCTTAGTTTCTGCTAGCATTGATAGTTGCGGTACCACCCGCCGAAAGGCTGGTCCACTGCTGTCTCCTTGTCGTTGATGGACAGATACCGCTCGGTCCCGGCCGGTTCTAGCTGTAGTGAAGAACGACGATCCTTAGATCGGGAATTATGCAAGAGTCTACGAAAAGCACTGTGAAACCTGGTGGTGTGAACGTGTTAAAGAGATGGAACTCACTAGCCTTTCTGGTAATAACAGAAAATTTCTCCATCTTATCCGAACTACCAAAGGTTTCCGATCTGATGTACGCGAAACGATTTCCGAAGAGGATTTCTCACTAATCTTCAACGTCGGGTGGAATGATGGCCTGAACACTGGCTCGCAGTTTTCCTTGTCGCCATCACCATCTGCTTCCCCTGGAGCGTTCATTTGTGCTAAGTGGTCTGTCCTCACAGATCTTTTCATCAGGAAATCTGTCAGGAACCCCGCGTCTTGCAGTGCTATAAAGTACCGGACTCTGATGGCCTACCTCCGGTCCTATTTAAAGATGGCGGCTATTCACTGGTTCGAAATCTTACTGCTTTGTTCCCGGAAGTCTGGTTGAAAGAGGAAGTTCCATCGTCTTGGGGTGAGTCGATAGTCGTCCTCATCTTCAAACAGGGCCTACACACAATGTGCTCCAACTGCAGGGGTATCAACTTAGTTCCCGTCGTTTCTAAGTTTCTAGTGTTCATCTTACTTCCAAGGCTATCTCCAATGCACGAATCGCTACATCGGAAAGAACAGGCTGGGTTCCGCCCTTGCCATCATCATCATCATCAACAGCAGTACATCAGCCCTTTGAACTGATGCTTCGCTGCCATACAACCATGAGGACCTATGAAATAAAGAATAATAAGAGGGAGAGAAGGGGCACTTACCTGAAAACCTTCATGCCCTAAGCAGACATTAAGGGTCAAGGCGCCTACACCTTGTGTCAACCACACCGTCACAAACAGCTGACTATCGTGCAAAGATATGGCGGCATCGGCGAGACAGCTTCCTTGCGGCTTTCACTGCCCCGCGTCATAATCAGCCATTACCCCGCAGATAACTCAGCACCAAACACACTTTAAACAGACAATCCGATTAGGAGACGGCAGCAGACGCGCCACTGGTGTCGATTGCGAGCCATGTCCTGCAAAGTCTCAAGCCAAGCACAAGGTGAGTCACGTGGACTCCAGTCTGGAAGGCGGGACGGACCAACGGTACCCAGTTTGGTTGTCAGTGACTTCATTTCCCGCTGTCAAGTCAACTTCTGTCCACCTCGAGCCTTGCGCCATCCTACACCTGGTAGACTGAACAAGGCCCTCATAGGTAAGCGGTGACCAGGCATGCGCAGCACGTGCCCGAGCCAACGCAACTTATTCAATGCTATCTGTTGTTCTAGGGAGCTAGCATGATTATCATTACCTAGTACTCGCCTACGCACATCGTGGTTGCGGACACGCTGGTGCCATCCGACTCCAGCAAGGCTTCGCAGACAACGATGATCAAAGACTTGAAGGCGCGTCAGCTCTTCAGACCGAAGGGGCCAAGTTTCACTACCATAGAGTAGAACGGCCCTCACTGTGGCCTTGTATACACGGCCTTTCAGGCGGAGGGAAACTGCCTTCTGTCGCCAAAGATGCCGCAGGTTCAAGTAGGCAGCTCTGGCTTTTGCAGTGCGTGAGCTGACGTCAGTTTCTATGCGCCCATCATTGCGGATGCAGCTGCCAAGATAAGTGAAATGATCAACCACCTCGAGTTCCTCGTTAGCAAGCGTCAAGGGGTCATCAATTGGCTGGTGGTCCTGCAGCAGCACTTTGCACTTTGATGGTGCGAAGTGCATACCAAATAATGGGACCACTCTAGACAAGCTATTCATTTTGATTGGGCCACCCCAATATTGTCGAAAAGCAAGACGATATCGTCCGCATAATCTAGATCAACTAATCTTTCACCAGGCAGCACTTCGACGCCTACATCGTGAGATTCCGCAAGGGAACACTCCATGATAGAATCCACGACGAAATTGAACAAAAACGGGAAAATCGGACAACCCTGACGAACGCCACTTGTGGTCGGAAAGCTATCCGATAGGGGACCATATACCCTGACGCGGCTTGTAGTGTTGGAGTACAGAGCACGAAGGATGTTCGCGTATTTCGAGGGAACACCTTTTCGCGCAAGTAATTCGAACAGAATCGATCGATCAACTGAATCGAACGCACTCTTGAAATCGAGGAACACAACCATTGCCGGTCTGCGGTACGCGTGGCGCTGCTCAAGCACCTGCCGCAAAGTGAATATATGGTCTATACAGCCACGTCCTGCCGGAAACCGGCCTGCTCTTCCCTTATCCGACATTCCCGCTCTGCAGTGAGGCGACGAACGATAATCGAGGCCAGTAATTTTGTCACAACTGGCGTTAGGCTAATACCTCTGTGGTTCGAACAGTCTGTGCATCTGCCCCTCTTGTATATTGCCACTGTAATCGATTCGCTCCAATTAGCCGGGACGCTCTCTTTTTTCAGACGCATTCGAATAAGGAGATCAGTGCTTTGTTGAGGACCTCACCTCCATCCTTAAATAGTGCAGGTGGGAGGGAATCCAGTCCAGCCGCACGAAAACGATCAAGCGTTGTGATCGCGTTTCGGATCTCCGCCTCCGACGGAGGCTCTAAGCTAACTGTCCATGGCACGTCCTGTATCACCTGAGTAGGAAGAGGTCCGGGAGCAGGGGGCCAGCTGAACTGATGTTCAAAGTGCTCAGCCCAACGAGCCATACGGCGCTCCTTATTGTGTATCAGTGCACCCGCGCTGTCTCTGGTTGGCTCACTGCCGCCTGGTTTTCTGGGACCAGTGGTGCGGATAAGCTGGAAGACCTTGCGGTAATTGCCTGCTGTCCCTGCCTCCTCCATTTCTTGAGCCCGACTGGTCCACCAGGCTTCCTTGTCAGCACGTAGGCTCCGCTTTAATTCACGCCTAATAGCCTGTCTGGTCACATTGTGTTCAGAGCCAGTCGGGAGGTGTCTTCTAGATTCCAACAGGTTTACTGACCTCTCGGATATCCAGTGACTGGTGTGGTGACGACTGATAGTGCCACAAGCAGATGCTCCTGCGTCGTGCATAGCGGCGAAGATCCTATTCCACTGAAGCTCAGCGTCATTAGGACAAGACTGTGGAAGTTCGCTATGCAGTGTTTTTTGATAGGCTTGCCTGACCAAGGACTGAGACAATTTCTCAGTTGCCAATCGTGGGGGACGCTTTGTGCGCCTTCCGGTAAAGTTCATGGAGAAACGACAGCGCATCAAGGCATGATCAGAGTCGACACAAGTGCTCCAGTACGAGCGGCGATCCAGAATGGAACCGCGCCACCTGTAACTTATGGCTATGTGGTCAATTTGGGTCCATCGCTGGCCAGCTACAGGAGGACGCCAAGTGGCATTTCGGCGCCCACTGTGTCTAAAAGCAGTGCTAGTAAGAAACAACTGGTGCTCCGCACACAGTTGCAGCAGACGCTCATCGTTGTCAGTCCGTTCGGTGTTAAGCCCACGTTTACCACCTAGCTGAGCTTCTGAAGAGCTCAGACGCCCTACTTGTGCGTTCATATCCCCTGCAAGTACTATGATGTCTGAACTAGTAGCACTGCGTAGTAGCGCGTTCAGTTCGTGATAGAAAGTGTCCTTAACAACGTTAGAACTGCAGTCGGTGGGAGCATAAGCGGAAATCACGAATCAACAGCGTTTTGTACTACTTTGTGAATCAACCTTAGCTGATATCCTCAAACGGGCTGCACATAAACGGCTGTTCACCGGAATCCA